CATTTTAAAGGCAATTTAATCATGGTGAGAAAATACACAATGTGGTGAAATCGATTGTGGTAATGTGGCAATTTTTTTTGAGATGATTGAACTATTGAATTGTGGGAATATGTGGGATTTGTGGCTTCAATGGCCCAAAAGGTGTTCAAAAAGAGAAGATCTCCATCATGAAAACTATCTAAGTAAATAAACTATGCACGAAAGATTCAACCAAACCAAAACAAACCAACCCCAAACGAGGTAGTGCCGATGTGCTCAATCTCTTTCTTTGCGAAGCAAACAGAGGTGGACCTGAAAGGGCCTTGGGTTTTGAGCGCGGTGAGGCTGAAGGACAATTTCCTTGGAGCTGGTGTAGTGGGCGGTGGCCTTGGTGGCCTTGGTGCCCTGGGCCACGCGCTTAGCCAGCTGTCCAGATGGCAGCAGGTGCAAGGTCGCCTGGATGCCCCATGCCGTGATGTTTGAGCGCTGCTTGGAATGTGCCAGTTGAGATGCCTGGTGGGCGATGTGCCCGAAGGTGTCGTTGATCAACGAGTTCACGACGCACATCACCCTAGACAGATGCTGGAGTCCGCGTGGACCTGCTTGAGCACCTTGCGCACATACACGGAGTAGGTGACCTTGCTGCTTGTCTGGCATTTCTTGCTGTGCTTCCTCTGAGCCTTAGCTGCAGCTTCCTTGGGGCCCCTCCCCTGGCAGGCAGGGGCTTAGTAGGGTCAGGTGGGTTGTTTGACTGGGACGGTTGCACCTGGAAAAGGTAACGCAGGTGTCCTAAGGGCGAGCTCAGGGCGGACAGAAATCTCTTGTGGAGCAGAAGGGCTAAAGCTCGCTGGATCCTGATTTTCAGTAGGAATACAGACCATGAAAGCGGGACCTCACGATCCTTCTGACCTTTTGGGTTTTAAGCAGGAAGTGTTGGAAGAGTTACCACAGGGATAACTGGCTTGTGGTGCCCAAGCCTTCATAGGGACATTACTTTTTAATCCTTCAATGTCGGAATGATCTGATCAGATGTTCCTGGAAAGATGGGGATGGAGGGGTGAGGGGTTGGGGTAGAGGAGAGAGGAGGGAGGACAGAGGAGAGGGAGGAGGAGAGAGGGAGAGATTGGAGCGGGCGCCACACTCCCTGATGGCCCTTAACCTAGAGCCCCGGGCCGCCCACTGCTCGACAAGGTGGATAGACCAGCCACTGAGTGGGGACTTAGTTATGTTTCTCGCCGCTGCTTAGGAGGTCAACTAGGAGGTCCTATTAGGACAACGGGTTGGAGACGCTCACATGAATGCTTGCATTTCAGCGCCTGCGGTTGGAGCCCTGGCCCGCAGTCAGTGCTTTCCCACCCTGCGGGTCCGCACGCTCTCCCTCATGTTCTTGAAAACGTTTGCATAGTTGTGAGTTGGATTCTGTTTTATTTTCTCAGATCTTATCATTGTTTTAAAATGTTTCACCAAAGATCTACTTTCACATTTCATTATTTTACTTATGTGATCTCGGTGCGTGTATATGTGCATGTGTGTGTACCATACAATCTTTTGGATAACCGCTTTGGAGGTCGACCAGTAGTCCCATTCGGGCAAACTGTGTGCTGCTTGCTAAGTACATATGCAAGCCCATCAGTACTGCTTCTGCCCGTTTTAGCCCTGCAGGCAGGCTGGCCAGCTCTCGCTGCTCTCTGGCAAACAGCATCACCTCCTCCGTCTTTTGTATTTTAGGAGGGGATCCGTGTGTTGTAAAGATGCTCAGCACGTTCATATGTAATGGTTAATGGTTTGGGTGTTGGAGATTTGCAGTTAATCGCTCGGGATTTAAGAACCAAGTTATTTTTGTGTGTTGAAATGTAGCCTACAACTCTTTTACATTTACTAGCTATAGTATTTATGATGTCTTTAGAATCTTTTTTATATGACATCATTAATTTATGATGAATAAGGAATTTTCGTTTATTTTTTGGAAATACTTTTCTTCCTTTTATTAATTCTTTTTTTCTGATTAGTCTATCTAGTACGATTTTCAATATGAGTGATGAAAATGGACATGCATGTTTGTCCTGGTTCTGAGGTGGGGTGAATTTTTTTCTCTTTCTCCTACATGTGACTTTTGCCTTTTTCCCATGAATGTGTATTAGCATATTGGGCTTGACCTGTTTCATGTTAGGTTTGTAGTTGTTTTGCTTTAACATGTAAAGCTTTTGACTTTGTTTTGTATGTATTCTTTCTATTTTTTTTCTGTGTCTATTTAGATAATTGACTCTTTTTTCCCCTTCAGTGGGCATATTTGAATGTTTATTATCTTGTGTTAAATCAATTCTGGGATGAATTAGAATTAGTCATGATACATACTTATTTTAATATATTGTCTGACTCAGTTTCCAATTTTTAAAATAGCTTTCATTCAGATCCATTATCAACACTGGTCTACAGTTGTCTTAAAGTATCGTTATCTGACATTGGTATAAGGTCATTTCTAGTCTCCTAGTAGGTGTTACTAAGTGCTCTCTCAAAACTATTGTTATGTTGGAACCCAGTAAGTTGAACTTAAACAACTAATCATTTAAAAAAGTGTTTATTCGCCCACCCTGGCCAATTTCCCCAGTGGAGAGTGGATCTGACTTTCTGCAGAGACTTGTCAAAGCCAGAGGCTGACTACGACGGTGGCTCTCCCAGTCCCCACCCGGACAAAAGGAAAGCTGGCCGACTGCCGCCCACAGACAAGCAGAAGTGTGAGCGGCTACTTTTATTCCTTTACTGCTATGAAATGAGTCTGGGTTTTCAGGACCCAGTGCCTCTAAATGTGCCTGATTATTAAAAAATAATTAAAAGCCCAATGGACTTGTCAACCATCAAGAAAAGGCTCCAAGAGGATTGATCCTTGTACACAAAACCAAAGGACTTTGTAGCCGACTTTTGGTTGATCTTTCAAAACTGTGCTGAATTCAATGAGCCTGATTCAGAAGTTGCCAATGCTGGAATAAAACTTGAAAGCTTATTTTGAAGAACTTCTAAAGAACCTTTATCCCAAGAAAAGGTTTCCTAAGGTAGAATTCAGGAACGAACCAGAAGATAAATTTAGTGATGACTCGGACCATGACTCCACGGAAGAAACGCCTGAAAAGCTTCGAGGATCGCCAGTTGCTTAAATAAGCAAGCCCCACCC